CAAGTGAAATAGGGAGCTTTGATGGCTTAGTGGTAAGGAGCTGTGCTGCCAACTGAAAGGTACACAGTTCAAATTCACCAGCAGCTCTTTAGGAGAAACCTAAGCAACCTCCTCCCAGGTGATTTACTGCCTCTGAAAACCCACTGGAAGGTCAGCTATGAGTGGGATCCAACTTGACAGTGCACAACAACAACAACATGAGTTGGAATAGATTTGATGGCCATAAATTTGGAGTGCTTTGTGGGTATTTTTTCCTTTGAAAGGAAAATATTGTCTTAAAACATCCTTAATTTCTTCTGTATCTATGATTCTTTTTCATTCTCATTTCTAATTTTACTTATTTGTGCTTTTCCCTTTTTTGTCAGGGGCCAATTATCTCAGAGTCGTTGCTATCAAATCAGAACTGACTCACAGCTGGCCCTTCATTCAGTTTCTAAGGCTGTAGATCGCACAGGAGGAGAGGGGCCATCTCTCTCCCAGGGAACCACTGGGAGATGGAAACCAACCGAGAGGTGCGTTCTCTAGATGAGCAGTGCGACTCCCAACGGACCACTCGGCCAGGTTAGTGGGTGATATTCTATTAAATGTATTCTGTTTGACTTAGCTAGCTCTTGGATTTATGTTCTAGTGTTCTCATTTATTAATTTCTGGTTTTATATGCTTGACTCCTTCCATTTGTTTTCCTTTTATGAACTTTTTCATTATTTTTTCCTATTTCTTGGGTTTAAATATTTACTAATTAACTTGCATCCAAGGCAAGCTCTGACTAAATCCAGGATTTAATGGTGGAGGTACAGCAGTGGAAACACACAGATATATATGCATGCATACATCTGTTGGGAAAAGAGGAAAACACAAACATAGTCATCAGTAAAGGGCAGTAAGTGGCATCTTGCTGAACAGGGATAATGTAGCTAGTGGGTGAATTTCGCAGCTGATCATTATGGCTCTCCCAAATTTTGTACATTAGAATCATCTCTCCTTTCCATTTGTTCTCTGTGGGCAGGTCTTGGAGAAGCTTTGGAAAGGCTCTCCCTTCTGAAGGGAATACTACCTTGGAAGTCTACTACCAGTTGGCATACAAAGGGATTTGAGGTTGGAACAATCATAGACTCATTCTGTCAGTTTAGGACCAATATGCCACACATGTCTTCAAAATTCTGGTCTTTTGTCAGAAAATTCTTTACTTATGTCTCTTCTGGACTTGAGGCTTCACAGTAGAAATCCTGCCAATTTATGGTCTCTGAATCCTTTGAACTCTTCTATTGTCATCTCTGTCACTTAAAAATAGGCCTTTCAGAAAATCTAGACCCAATTAACTTTTGGAAAATAAACTTCTAGCCAACACTCATATTGAATCTGAATTTCTTCCATAAAAATTTTCAAAAAACTTGAAGCTTTAAGTACATTTGAAAATGGCACAAAGAAAACATTTTTTAATATATACAAACCTTAGTTCCCTCAAAATCACATGCAGGCAGGAAAAAAAAATGCCACCCACTCTCCAGAAGTTCAATGAGGAATAAAGATCTACTTTTTGCACAATATAAGATGACTGATAGGCACAATCATAATGATATTGTCAGCCATCTCTGCAATCATAATTTAGAGTCAAAGCGAGCTAGTGCCCTGTTTGGAAAGGAAATGAATGTCAAATAGCAAACCTTACATCTTTTCTCTAAAAACTGGAGGTGATATTTCTTTGATCATGTCCATGCAAGCCCATTTACCTTAAATCATTGTATATACTGTTGTTTTTGTTGCTGTTGTTGTTTTTGATGTTGTTGTAAAGTGCTGTCAAGTCGCTTGTGACTCACAATGACCCTATGTACAACAGACCTATACCCTGCTCTATCCTGTGCCAATCGTATTGTCTCCAACACACCTACCCCCATTACCCCAATCACTGAATCAATCTATTTCTTTGAGAGTCTTCCTCTCCTGCGTTGTTCTTCTACACTACCAAGCATGACGTCCCTCTCCAATGACTGGTTCCTCCTTGGAACATGCACAAAATATGTCAGACAAAGCTTCAGAATCTTTGCCCCCAAGAAGCAGTCTGGTTTTACCCTCTCTAGGATGAACCTGTTTGTTCTCCTAGGCATCCATGGTATTTTCACACTCTTCTCCAGCACCACAGATCAAAGACATAAATTCTTCTATCATCCCAGTCATTGTCCAGCTTTCTGATGCATAGCAAGTAATTGCAGAGACCATGGCCTGAATTAGGAGCAACTTAGTCTCCGGCCTGATGTCGTTGCTCTTCAGTCCTCTAGAGAGGTCCCTCACAGCCAACTTTCCCAATGAAATTCATCTCTTTATTTCCTGGCTGCTGGTGCCAAGAGTGTTGATTGTGGAGCCAAGCAAACTGAAGCTGTTAACAATCTCAATCTCATCATTGTCTACCATGATGCTGCCAATTGGCCCAATTGTGACATTCTTTGTTGCACGGAATAAATACATAAGAAACTAAGTCAGCCATACTTCTGTTTGCTTACATCTGACAGTCTGGTAGTTGTCTGCTTCATTTGATAAGCACAGGTTACTGCATCTATTAGGGTTCCTGATTCTTGAAAAGAGTGGGAGGACCCAGAACACTTCATTTTATTCATATAAAACCTATACCTAGACAAAGAAGCTATTGTCCAAACAAAGCAAGGGAACACTGGATGGTTTAAAATCAGGAAAGTTGTGGGTCAAAGTAGTGTTCTTTCTCCATATCTATTCAATCTGTAGGCTGGGCAGATATTTCTAGAAGAGAGATTCTATGAAAAAGAATGTGACATCAGGATCAACAACCTGCATTGTGCAGATGGTACAATCTTGCTTGCTGGAAGTGAGGAGTACTAAAAACACTTGCTGCAGAAGATCAAAGACTACAGCATTTTTGAATTGCATCTCAACATTAAGAAGACAAGAATCCTTACCAGTGGACCAATAAGCAACATCCTGTTAAATAGAGAAGATTTAAATTATCAACAATTTCATCTTACATGGATCCACAATCAAAACCTTTGGTACCAGCAGTCTTTGAGATTAGGAGATGTATTACATTGGACAAGTCTGCTATCAGGGACCTTTACAAATTACTGAGGAGCAATTATGTCAGTTTGAAGACTAAGGTGCACATAATTCAGGCCATGGTATTTTCAATCACTTGCTACACATCTGAGAGTTGGACAATGAACAACGATGACAGAGGAAGAGTTGAGGCCTTCGAGTTGTGGTGTTGGAGAAAAGTACCGAATATCCCATGGACTATCAAAAGAACAAATATGTCTTGGAAAAAGGACAGGCAGAGTGCTCCTTAGAGGCAAATATGACAAAGCTTCATCTCACATACTTTAGGCATATTGCTAGGAGAAACTATTCTTGAGAAAGGAACATCATGCTTGGAAAAGAGAAGGGACAGGAAAAAGAAAGGAAGATCCTTAGAGAGATGGCTAGAGAGGTCAAGGATAGCACAGGATAGGAAAGGATTCAAATCCTTTGTTCATAGGGTCACAGCAAGTCATATTTGACTCAATAGCACCTAATAACAACAACATCAGGGCTTCTGGTTACAACCAAGAGAAACTGAGTTTAGCCTCCTAAGCAGAAAAGGTGTTCATTATGGCTCCTGCATTTCTCTCTGAACTATTGATAGAATTGAGACTTGGGTTTAAGACTTCTGGATCAGCAACTAAAACCATTTCACAGAATTTTGCTTCACTGCTGCCACCACCAGTGCTTAGTGGATGCTTCTCCACCTCAAGATCACAGCTATCGCTAAAAGTCAAGTGTCTAGGCCATTCACACACCTGAGAAAGAACTCCATCAGCACGAGCCCCTTTCTCATGTTGCTCTCTTTAAGTCTCAAGTATGTGAGCTTCATTATTAGAAGTGAGGTGATACACTTGTATCTTAGCTGCAAAGCAAGTTGGGGATGGGAGTCTTCATGTTTCTCCCCATGAAGAAGATGAAGTCATGGTTTAAAGCCCCTAAACCTAGAAACATGACTCAGAAAGTTCTGAGCATCCACAAAATGTGGCCAATCATCAAACTGGATTTTTTCAGTCAAGAAACATACATCTGGAAGTTTGCATTGGCCAATTGCTAAACTTTTTGTTTTGGGGCATTGTGGCCATCAGCTGTACAAGCCTACAAACTATCTCATGGATAA